TGTGGATTTATTTTCTCTCACCTTGTAATTACACAATCAAATAATCTATAATACGGCTTTGGACTTCACTCACCAAACTTCTTTTTTTAATGTTTTGCATTTGTACTATTTTGTAGTCAATTTGGACAAATATCTTTCGAACTAAAAATATCCTATGATTGCATATGGTGTGAATATGTATACCCTGCTCACTCCGTATTATTTTAGGTACAATTTATATTTTAAATGTAATGAAAAAGCCAACTCAATAGTGTGTTAAAAATAGACTTTAGGATATTGTAAAACAAAAAACTGATAATGTATTCTTAACCCTCCTTTATCTTCACATTTGCTTTACACCCTCTATCCTTGGTGGTCATTTTGACCCCAGGAGTTTAAAGCTCAAGAAAATGATCATATTCAAAATTGTTACCAAAATGTACGTTTCAAGTACTTTATGTTTCTTAGTTGACTATCTAAATATCCATTTAAATAAAACACTACTAGCCATTTTCATTACATTAGCAGCACTAAACTTACCCTGTTTTTCACGTGGGGAGCGGGACCAAGATAACTTTCCATTTTTGGAAAGTAATGTTTCTGCTTGTGTTTGACAGACAACAGGAGCATCTGCATGGGGTATTCAGGGTGGACAATTTGATAGAGGATTTCTCTGAAAGTACAAAATAAAAGTATTTTATAGTCTTTGCGCTAGTAGTCTAACTACTGAGTCCAAAATGATCAGTCTTCAAACTTAAAAGTATTTGTATTGCTCATCACATATAGCAGCAAGACAGGCATTGTTGTACCATGGAGGGGACTTTGACAGGAGAGTATCAAGAAGTACACAGTAAAAGTATTTCATAGTATTTCGGATAGTTGTAACTACAACTGATTCCAACTTCATCAGTCTTATGAAAAACGTATGGCCAAAAATAATGTTATCGCTCATCAAAGATAGCAGAAGCTTGTCATTTTTGCACTGTGTAAAGGCAAAGAGTTAGAACCTTTATTTTGAAGAGTACAGCGCAAGCATAGGGCAAACTAGCCAATCAGAAGCAAGGAGGCACTGGAGACCCACCCACCTATGGAAACGAAACATTGAGTGGTATACTTGTTTTAACAGTAAGAACAGAAAAACGAAAAAACGAGCTGAATTTCCGTTTTTTGGTTTTGGGGCAAAATTGAAAAACAAAAAAACGACCCGTTTCTGTTTTTTGTTTTTTTTCAATTAGAACTAAAAAACAAACGGTTAAAACGTACCTTCGTCCACATGCATCATTGTAGACCTAATCGTTTTTTAAATCAGAATCGCATGTATTAATATCCTACAATCTTTGAATTCTCCATTTGAGTACTTTATTTTTCTGCTGAGATGTCTTTTTTCTGATTTGCACTATTTTCTTTTCCGTTCTGGCAGACTGACTATTTCTTGGAACATTAAATTGTATTGAATCTTGAATCGTGTTCAGGGGTCCACATGATGGGGTTATTGTAAACAGTATTTACGCGAGCAAACTCAATAAGTGAATAGCTGAGTCGACCGAATCCCCAAAGGATACGGTTGTACGTGTAAACACACTTAATCATACATCTAGCCCACTGTGATAAACCAATGTGATAAAGACCGGAGGCAGCGTACTACACTGTGTGCAGGGGAGAAAGAGAGAAGAGAATATGAATATAAGAGGATAACGGCCATGATTTATTCATTGATGAAAGAAACCCTGTTATTTTATTTATGATCTCTTTAAATATAGCTCATGTGAATTAAATAAGTGATTGAAAATGGATGTTCCAACCTAGATTCTTGTGTATCCCACACACCCAGGCACACGCACACTGATGACAGTCATGTGCACACACACAGACAAACATACAACGAAGCAGCACACACATTCATAAACAAATAGAAGTTAATGAAGGCAAATACACTGACTGTTCTACAGTCTTGCTCCTGAATGACAATGTTATCTCTCTTGGCTGCAGCTCTGCAAGACAAAATCAAAGTCATGCTGTAGCTGGTTTGACTGCAACTGAACAAAGAAACACTTTATGTACAATCTGTGAAATAAAAATCATGCAGCATTTGGTCTGAAGGATTCAAATGATTATAAACGACGTCTGTCACTAGCCGATTTTCTCACTTCATCACAGTCTAATTCTCTGATGAGCTTACTGACTCACAAAAAGTTCGTTTTATTGCTGTGTCAAAATTAACTTTTAAATAGGAATGTGTTTGATATTTGGGAAATATGTTTAGTTAAGTTATTTTGACGAAAAGATAGATATAACTCAAATGTATCTTTTTTTAAACTTTAGACTGGAGATGCTAAGCTTAGCTTGATATTGGCAACTGGAAATAGAGGGAAACATCAGGCCCATATGTCTGTTCAATAGTTAAATATCCACATACCAGCACATATGCACGTTAAAATGTGGTGCAAACCTGCAACTACTGATTTCGGCCACTTGGGGTCAGTAAAGAACAGATAGATAGAATAGATAGAATCAGCAAAGAACAGCAACCCTAACCCTGACCCTTTTACACGTATGTTCATCTAAATACATATTTGCCTTTCATTTAGAATATTTTAATCAGTTTAGCTTTGTTCATGGATATGGCTTGCATTTTTTCAAGGGAATCAAGGTTTTCTTCAAGACATTTGAAAGTTCAACTCTTTTTCCTATAATAAGTCTAAAATAAAGGGTGTAGCCAAAATACAGAAACTCAGACTAAAACAATCCCTGCTAGTGAAACCAAATACAACAAACATAATTGTGATTTCAAAATTGTAGCCTATTTTTTACCTTTTTTTCACCAGATAGAGCCATTTTCTCTTGTTTTCCCTGTGTGGCAAATACATGCTATTATTCTGGTGTTTTGCTGCTGCATTATGCAATGCATTAACATCAATGGTGTTACTAATCATTGACAAATAAAACATTTACTTAACACGATTGACCAAATCTTACGTGACAGTGGCTTAAAGTCATATTATATAAGTCATATTTTGAGATCACTGTATTTGAAATCCAAAACACTGAAGTAGTTGCAGAAGTTATTTATTTGTTCATGTGTTTGCATACATATTGATGATGGGTTAGCATTATCATATTTCATCCTTTCATCTTGAGTCCCAAATGTTTTTTTCTAACCACCAAGCCAGGTAGGATGATTCAGGAAAAAATATGAAAGATGATCCATAAGGGAAGCAGGGGAAGGAAGTACTATAAAACGATCAATACTGCCATTTTTACTTGCAGAAAATCGTCCTGGAGTGACCCTAACGGTCTACGGTTTTAGTGGAATGTTACATAGCCACAGAGTGTGTAATGCTTTTTAAGTTACATCTCTAAACTGCAGATTTCACTTGACTTTGGTTTATCAGCTAAAATATGTGACAGCCACCAAGAACATTTATAATAGATTTGTTTTAAATAGTTAAATGTTAGAAATTCCTCTGTGCCTTTTAATTTTGGAGCTCGAACTTTATACAGAATACTGTTGTAGACTAGTCAATATAGCACTGATGCAGCTGTTAAAGTAATACTGGTGTAAAATTATCTTGGATGGACAGGGATTGTATACTATCTAGCCTTCTTATTCTGTGATTTTGTTGGGATGGCTTTTGTCATTCTGTTTTGCAGCAGAAATTGGAAATATAATATGTGTTGCTGTCCCTCTGCACTGCTTACTGGACAGACCAACTGCAATATAAGCCATTGACTTATTGTGGATTTTTCCCTTGAGACAATACCTCACTATTGTGTATGCTTAGGAGAGCCAGTTAACACCCTCAAGCTTCAGGAGCACACACATTGTACCACTACCAAGCCGTCATTTGCAATGTGTGCTCTGTGCCAAAGTAATGTGTCTATAAATGGAGGAATAGAAGCCAAATTCCAAATCAACTGACCTGTAGCAGACCAGGGATATCTGCTGCTCCCAAACACCAGAAGCTTTAAGAAAATCTGGATTTAGGAGGCTGCCAGAGAAACCATCTGTGTGCTCTGACTGCATAAGCTCCATCAGCTGTGCTGTCACCCTTATCTCTGCACCTCCGTCTTCGTTGCAATATTTGAAAACAACTGAATGCAAACACATACAGTGGATGCCACTCAAAATTTGTTTTGATGAAATCCAGACTGCATATGGATTAAGAAAATCAAATTATTTTAATATTGTTAATATTTGCTTCTTGGAAAGTGCCTCTTTCATTTTGTTGGGCAATCTAATAAAGGATGAAGATGAATCACACACATTATGCAAACCATGAGAAATAAGAGCTATTGATTTTACTATTTTATTAGGCATTGTCACATGGGATAGACTACATCTAGCATGTATAATCTGAATGTCAATAGCAACAAAAGGTAAATGTAACAGCTAATTTACTGTGGTTCAGTGCTAGCTATGCCACTGCCATAATGGCTGTTTCTCATCTACTGTTTTGTGAATGTTACAAGCACTATTTTAGGTAGCTCTTATAACACTCACAATCTAAAATATTTTGATGTGACATTTGTCCACAGTTCCACAGTTTTAGTTTTTTTAAATTGCTGTATGGTGAAACAAGTGTTTAGCCAGATATTTACCTTTGGTTTTTAGTTTATCAAATTGATCTTGTGCGCAAATAATTGTTGGGGGATAATATGAAACGATTGGTCTAGACTAGAGCAATAAATTACCAGTATAAATAGAATGAACATCTATTTATATGTACTGACTGAGTGTTTCAGCTTTCATTTATCTTGAGAAACTGTCGTTTAAACAACTTTCTTTCAATGCCCAAACTGTTTCTAACCTGTCATCGAAGCTAGAGTCTATTTAATTATCTTCATCGTTTAAAGTCTCTGGCTGGTTTAAATGGAGCCATATCCCCACCTACCGGAGGAGTTGCGCTACCACTGCAGATTAACCTAATCCTTGTCACGAGCAGTGGCGACTCGTCTTTACAGTAGGGGCAGGTGGGGCACAGTATTATCCATTTCAGTGTTTTATACAGGTAATGTAAGCAATGACTAGTGCCATGAACTTAAAAAACTGCGGATCTGTGCTGGTGACAGGAGCCAGTCGAGGTCTCGGGCTGCAGATAGTACACAGCCTGGCGAGTGGAGGTTTCTCCCCAGGCAAGATTATAGCCACAGCCAGAAACCCAGTGAATACACAGGTAACAGATGTAATAATAAACATTAATGGCCGGGTACTAGTACGGGTACTAGTTTTAATATATTACCCTTTAGCCATATTTAGTGCTTTTAATCACTAATAGAGGAATAATCTAGTCCTCCATGAAGCTGAGTCGACTAAAGGAGTAATGGCGCATTTCCACTACAGTGCGGAGCTCGCTTTAAGCGTGCAGAGCCGTGCGGGGCTCGTTTTTGGTTGCGTTTCCACTAGGCGTAGTACCGGCTAGCGGGTACTATTTCACAGTTTTTCTGGCCCCATAAAATCGAGGTTCTTTCCGGGCCAACAACCAGGCTGAGTCGGGCTGAGTATGCTAAACTAGAGAGAGAATCGCTGGCAAGGGAGCTACAACTACAACAAGATGAACATATTTGACCGTGATTTAATTGTAATACACGTTTCAAAATGATGCCGAAGTAACAACATACTGATACCGGTTAGTAAAAACCATGAATTAATGCTTTGAGAAGTCTGCGGACAGACGGCAGGCGAAAAACCTTTTAAAATGCGTGTTGTCTAAATGGAGATCGGCTAAACTAACGCAGTATATGCTCCGACCGTCCACACTCACAACAACGGCCTATACAGACATAAATAAACCAGCGACTGTACTCGCCATGACACAGACAGTCTGTGGTTTGTACTTGTTTAACTTTTGTCTAGTTTCTGAACAGATATGAGGAGCTGTGAGCTTGAGTGCTAACAGCTAACGGCTGATGTTGTTTTTCTGGGGTTCTCATTGAAGATGACGTCACGGCTCCGCCTACACTGCGTTACTATAGTTACTACCCTAGTTCCTAAACTGTAATGGAAATGCGCCATAAAGCAACCCTGTCTCCTAGAAATTACGTTCCCACAAAACTAAACTGCATTCTCAAATACGTTTTGCAAGAAACGTATTTCCTTCCACGTTACGTTTGTTATGAACATATCTTAAATACGTTTATTTTCTACATATCTTCTAGAAACCTATTTTCTCTCACATGACGTTTGTTATGAACGTATCTTAAATACGTTTGCTTTCTACCTATATTTGCCATTTCTTTTCTAGCTTATAATAATGATAATAGTCATTTATTAATATCATTTTAGAGCAAACTTATTTTCGCGCTGGCTGGCGGCTGACTTTTCAGTTGACCAAATCCGTTATTATGCTGGTTAATGGTTAATAATCACAATATTGTTTGTAGTCGTTTCATACAGCATTCTCAATTACGTTTAATTTTAACCACGTTACGTTTGTTCTGAACATATCTTAAATACGTTTGCTTTCTACCTATCTTTGACATTTATTTTCTAGCTTATAATAATGATAATAGTAATTTATTAATATCATTTTAGAGCACACATTTGAAATCGACGATCGGGCTTGATATCCTATGGTTAAATTAAAATCAGTAGGCGAGGCTGTAATTTCGCCAGCTGCGAGGCAGAAAATAATAGTTTTAACATGCCAAAAAGCTGCTGTGTCGTTTATTGCACCTCAAACATTAAAACAAATCCAGAGTTACGTGTTTCTGTACTTCCTCTAAGAAGAAAGGACAGTATACAACAGAAGAGCTCTGTGGCTTCAGGCTTGATCGCCGTTCAAATGACAGCTGGTTTCCCCAAAAGTGAGCAGGGCTGTAAAGTGACGTAGGAAAGATCATCAGCTCGCTGATTGGATGTTTTAGCCGCAATGCAAGTCGGGATATGGTGTTAATGCGATATGAAATCCGAAAAAAGAATCAGAGTTTAGGATGGCCGAAGACACTACACTACCCATAATCCCCAGCTATCGTTTGGGACTACAGTCCTGTTGACAAACCCCGTGATTAATCTTCAAGCTCTGGGATTGGATGTTGGAGTGGCAGTGCGCCAAGGTTACGCCGAGCGCCAAACAGCTCTTTGAAATGGAACGAAACCACGGCAGACTTTCCAAAACTGGACTCGAACGCCCCCCCAGAACTACAAATGCTGGCTATTGTGTTTCGCAACATGTTCTATAGCGTCTCTACTGGGAATTGTAGTTTTAAAAGACGTTTTCGTTTTTCCCAAAATTAGAAGTTGACAGTATTAAACTGTGTACAGCCCTGGAGGTTTAGGGGATAGGAAACAAATTGGTGTGTACAAATGTAAAACATGTAATTAATAAATGGGTGAAAATCGCTTGTGTCCATAATGGGAAGCATTAATATATACCCACATGCCAGCTCATTGTTACTTTGGAATTCTACTCCACTACAATTCAGAGGTTAACCTGGTATTTTTACTCCACTACATTTATTTTAGTTACTTTGCAGATTCTGATTAATGATGTGAAATATAAACAACCCTTAAAGCAGACTTTAGTTACACCTGAGTAAAATTCAGGGAAAGGTGATTGTCAAGTGCCAACAATCAGGAGAGATATTAGTTGGTGCTTGAGAAGACTAAACATTTATCTGCAGATCTCTATAAAGTATATTCATTACTCGTTATTCTCTACTAATAGTTAATTAAAAACTGTATATAATAGCTATTTTGCACATCCCTTTCAAGATTTTCTAAGGTTTATTGACATATCATATACACCACGATGTTGAAGTTATGCAATTAATGAAAAACTTGGGTCACAGGTTCCTCAACAGTGCATTACAAGACATCTATCAATATGTGTGTATTCCTCCACCATTAAACTCAAATTCTGCACATGTCTTATACTATCTACATACATAAGAGTATAATTAATATATATATAATATCAGTTAAAATAAGTGCTTCAACACAGTTAACATTGCAGGAAAGCAATATATTAGACGCTAAGTACTTTGTCAGGCTTAATATTTATCTGTAGATAGATACCCCCAAAGCTTTTTTCTTATTTGAAAGAAAACCTAAAGTATTGTTTAATGTGTTAATAAAGGTTAATTAGTTTGTCTGTTTTGCACATCCTCATATTAATATCTTTGTACATCAGGCACTACACTGTTTTATTGTAGAGATCACTTACAGTATCTTCTTGATTTTTTATATTCTATATTTCTATCATTGACCTTCTACTTTCCCCCTATGAAAGTATGTACTCTTAATATTTTATTCATCAAATAACATTATTCAACAAAAATAACATTATTCAACAAAAATGATTAAATAACATGCTTTAACCACTAGGCGGTGCACACAAGGTACACACAGTATACTAATAATAACTTTGTATTATTAGTGTAGGACACTTATGTATGTATAACATCTGAAGATGTGTAGTTTTATTCATGTTTTTACATAATTGTACAGGATATTGCTATATTATTTCTCATGTTTACTTCTACACATTAATATCTGATTTGTAAAACATCACAGACAGAAAGGTATATCCGTCATTTAATGGTAAGCTATTGAAATTGTGATTCCATAGATGTGTCTCCCATCACCCAAATCCCCTGACTATTCTCTCAACTCAGTATTTACATTCTTATATTCAAAGAAAATCAGTAATATCTTTAAAAACTACAAGTCCTTTTCTATCAGCTGTGCACCGTTATGGTGTAAATATAACCTATCTACCAATTGGATCAAATATAAAAGTCAGCCGTATTAGTATTGATACTGCAAGGAGACGTATTTTGTGAAAAGAAATGTAAGATGTTGTTTAATTGTTGATATATTTATGATCCACGACACGTATTCAGTTTCGGCGGCAGTTCTTCCAGAACTTCAGTCCAGAAGTCTTCTCATCAGGGCTCTATAAATAAAGAACTATGGCAGATGTGTAATATTTAATGTAGCCGAACCGTGTATTACAATGCCGTTATGTGATGACTTTCAAAGAGAAAAGCAAGAACACTCAGAATAAAGTATTATTATTATTTTTTTTAATGTTTTCGGATTTCACATCGCATAAACACCATATCCCAACGTGCATTGCGGCTAAAACATCCAATCAGCGAGCTGAGGATCTTTCCTACGTCTGTTTCCGGTATTGTTCCTGTAATGAGAGTTCACATTTATGCTACATTGAAGGGTGGAATTGACTACACATCTTCAGAAACATAATTTGCTTCAGATATATACTGTAACTCATAGCAATATTGTAACCATTAAGAAAAGCCAATTGCATTAAAAACCCAGTTAACAAACACAAGGTAAAGTATTTTTCCTTCAGTAATGAAGATGTAATTCCAATGTAGACACACCTGGGGTCGCTGTTCAGTCTGTTACGCTGAGCCATGCATTGTCTGGAACGTAAAAGGGACGAAGAAGACAAAGTGAAGTGACGTACTTCCGGTTCAATGTGAAAACATTCCCAGTTAAACCATAGATATATATAAAAACATATGTTTATATATATCTATGAGTTAAACAACATAAACAAATCGCTTAATAAAAAGATAAAACACTGGCATGTAATTTACGTTTGGATTAAATAGAATGGTTTTGAATAATAGATGAGAGTAAAATCTACGTCACAGCCCCACCCACTTTTGGGGAAACCAACGCTGTCATTTGAACGGCGATCAAGCCTGAAGCCACAGAGCTCTTCTGCTGTCCTTAGAGGAAGTTTGAGGTGTTTGAGGTGCAATAAACGACACAGCAGCTTTTGGCATGTTAAAACTCTGCCTCGCAGCTGGCGAAATTACAGCCTCGCCTACTGATTTTAATTTAACCATAGGATATCAAGCCCGATCGTCGATTTCAAATGTGTGCTCTAAAATGATATTAATAAATTACTATTATCGTTATTATAAGCTAGAAAAGAAATGTCAAAGATAGGTAGAAAGCAAACGTATTTAAGATATGTTCAGAACAAACGTAACGTGGGACAAAACTAAACGTAATTGAGAATGCTGTATGAAACGACTACAAACAATATTGTGATTATTAACCATTAACCAGCATAATAACGGATTTGGTCAACTGAAAAGTCAGCCGCCAGCCAGCGCGAAAATAAGTTTGCTCTAAAATGATATTAATAAATGACTATTATCATTATTATAAGCTAGAAAAGAAATGGCAAATATAGGTAGAAAGCAAACGTATTTAAGATACGTTCATAACAAACGTCATGTGAGAGAAAATAGGTTTCTAGAAGATATGTAGAAAATAAACGTATTTAAGATATGTTCAGAACAAACGTAACGTGGGACAAAATTAAACGTAATTGAGAATGCTGTATGAAACGACTACAAACAATATTGTGATTATTAACCATTAACCAGCATAATAACGGATTTGGTCAACTGAAAAGTCAGCCGCCAGCCAGCGCGAAAATAAGTTTGCTCTAAAATGATATTAATAAATGACTATTATCATTATTATAAGCTAGAAAAGAAATGGCAAATATAGGTAGAAAGCAAACGTATTTAAGATACGTTCATAACAAACGTCATGTGAGAGAAAATAGGTTTCTAGAAGATATGTAGAAAATAAACGTATTTAAGATATGTTCATAACAAACGTAACGTGGAAGGAAATACGTTTCTTGCAAAACGTATTTGAGAATGCAGTTTAGTTTTGTGGGAACGTAATTTCTAGGAGACAGGGTTGCATAAAGTGAGCCAGTCCTAACAAGGCCTAATGAGGCTTAGCCATACCGAGCAAGGCCGAGCGAGGCCCTGTAGTGGAAATGCACCATAAGGTACACAGGTGTTAAAGACTCAGAGGCTGCCATTGTTCCCCTCTGGATATTTTTACATTTTACATTTGACTTTACTTTTCATGACATTAAAGGTGGGGTAGGTACGTTTGAGAAACCGGCTCGAGATACACTTTTTGTTATATTCCAGGGAATGCTCTTAACATCCCGATAGCAATGAATATCTTAAGTGCTTTGACAAAAAATCCATAAAAAAAATGTCATCTGTGGAAGCCGTAGTACTGTAAAAAGCACGACCAATCAATTTAGCCGGCCTGGCTGAAATCACTGGATGGCCTACCTGCCTGTCAGCCTTCCATCTGTGCACAAACGTATCTCGTGCCCTCATTGGTCATGTGCGCGCTCGTGTGTGTTGGAGGAGGGGCTCTATAAGGAAGTGGCAGATTTTTTCCGGTTGTGTATTTTCAAATTCTAGCGCACTCGAGCTGGTTTCTCCAAAATTACCTACCCCACCTTTAAGCAGACACTATTTTTCCAAAGCGACTTATACTTAAAAAAAGCTATTTTTCAGCTATTTTTGGGATCCAGTGTCAGTGCCCAAGCCAAGGACTTCTCGACATGTTGACTACAGAGGGTGGGCTCGAATCCCTGACTCTAGACACCTTTATTCCCTCCCAGCACCACACTCACCTTGTATTTGCAAATAAACAATAACCTGATTTTTGATTTTGACCCAAACTTCCGGAACTGGCAGATAATCACCCTAACATCCACATCATCACCTTGGGTAAGACAGAGAAGACATCCAAAACAATGGTCTGTACATTTTAGATGTGAATTATAAACCCAAGTAACCCTGTTTATACCTTAAACATTGCATACATCAATGCTGGAGATATGAAGTAGAGCTAAAGACATTACTTGTGTTATTGATCAATGTATAATCCGATTGTATTTTCTTTCTTCTATTTGCATTCTTACTCTGTCACGTTTTGTTGATTTCCAATGTTGATGTGTCTCTCCACTAGATGTGTTGAACCAGCAGAGTATAGAGAAGTGTGTGGAGGAGGTGGGCCAGCTGGTGCAAGGAGAGGGTCTGAACTGCCTGATCAACAATGCAGGGATCAATGTGGTGGCCGACTTCCATACTGTCACTGCTGAGAAGATGATGGAAAACTTCCACACAAATGCGGTGGCTCCTCTAATGATCACCAAGGTAATGTTGATTATACTTATGATAATATAAGTATATTATAAAATATGTGTATATTGAGCTTTGTTTACATTTTAAGTGTTGTATAATAGAGTGGTGCAGTGACGAGTCCTAAAACCCGGAAGTGAGTTAGCATTTTACCACTCCCGGTTCCCTCGTCTCAGAGTCAATGGGATTTCTCCATAGGATTTTGGAAAATAGCTGGAAATAAGGTCTGTGGTTGACACAAATTTAAGAGACGGATCACGTTTTGTTCTACGACATTAAATACATCAGCAGTGACCCCACTGGTGATTTTTGAAGAGTTTACGTGTCTGAAAAACGATGGTTGTTAACAAGTAGCTGAATAGGACTACAGAAGTTGTCGAGGACGTTGTACGTCATTACACCGAACACGTAACCACTTGAAAGCAAGTACCTGCCTCCTGCAAACTGTTCAAACAAAAGCTTCAACTTGTACCATTTTTAATCTGTATTTTTGAATACGTTGAAGCAGCGACCCTGCTGTAGTTCGTTTATAGCATAACGTTAGCATTTTGCTTCTGGCGATTAGTTTTATGATACGAAAATTATAAAAGTATGGTAGACATGTGGATATTATCCGGCTGAACAAAAGGTGCATTTATCAAACAGGTTCGTTTTCCACAGACCTTATTTAGTTAATCCCATTGCTTTTTTGTTGAGGGAACCCATGCGCAGCTTATTTCCAGGTAAATACGCCATTCCTGCACCACTCTATTATTAGCAGCTCAGAATTCTGCTTTGAGTCTCCTACGGTGGCCGACAGCTGCAAATGCGTTACAACGGCCATAAAGATTTCCATTGGGAGAAATGCGCATTGTATTCGCAGCGTTTCGTTTATGCAGCGCTTTTAGTAAATGCTGCGCATGTTTCTTCAAGTTGGTGTTATATTTGCATTGTTATTAGCTCCCAATGAAAGTGTTATATCTCTCACAGGCTCCGCCCTCTACTGGACTCTATGGGTACTACCTTATCATGCAAGCATTCACCTACTGAGATTTCTATAGACGTAGCCGGCCCCCGGGCGGGCCTACCTGAATGCGTGCGCATCTCACTTCCGTATAAAAGGAGGCCTCGCCTCCTGACCACCATCCTTTACTCTTCAGCGAGCGGAGGTGATAGCCGAGCACTGAGTCCGAGACGTATTATTTGAGAGAAAGGAAGAAGGAAAACGAGTATTTTTTGAAATCATGCCCTGGATTAAATAGCGGGCGTCGATCCCCACCACCTCTGCTTCGAGTGTGGGGGACCAGGATATGGCCGAGGCGGTGCAATTCACGTTCGCCATTCCTTCCGGGTCCGGCGTCCATGGAAGTCCACCGCCCAGGGCTGTACTCTCCCTGGATGATGATCATGGCGGCGGGTGTGTGGGCTACTCGCTCATTGCTAGAGATGCCCCCGCCTCACAAGGTCAGAGCGATTATTGGGCCGCAAGGCCGAATAAGTAGCTTGGTCCACGGGCCTTGCCCCAGGCCTCGCCGCCGCTGCCTGCCGTGTGATGTCCCTGGGATATCACGCCGCATGGCACTTTCCAAAGAGGACCGTGTTGATCTCCTGGGAGCCCCCGTGTTTACGGAAGGGCTCTTTGGATCGATCTCCTTGCTCACGGGATAAGGAGTAATCGCAGCGTGGCTGCTTCTTGCCCATCCCCAGAGGAAGAAACACTGTCATACACTCCCCGCCTCTGCTGTAAACCCCAGTATAGGGAGCCAGCAGGTGGGTATGTGCACGTGAGTGGGATAAACCGAGTGCTGTCAAAGCACTGTGCGGGTTCAAGAGACGCTATTGCCGGCGTGCTGTCAGAAAACACACCTTGCCTGGTATAATAGCTCCGATTAATGCATTTCACCGTTGAATGGGAAATACAGCGTTGATACGTGGGCGCGCGGCCCTCGTAAGAGTGGCCGCGGTGCGTTCAGGGACCTCCGCAGGAGAACGGTGGTTTACGTTTGTAAACTCTAGTTCTGGAGTGGTGTGTGTGTGTGGGAAAATGCATTCAGTAAACACGGTTGCATTTATCCCAGAGTAAGAGTCATCTCTCTCCACAATTCCACTTTTCCCCATAATGTCCGTTTCAAAGAGAGGGCATTGTGACGGCGCACGCGGCCCCCCTCCCCTGAGGGCGGGCCGCGGAGCGTTCAAAGACCTCAGTAGAGAAAAGAGTCACCGCGGCGCGCACTCCTCCACAGGCCTGCAGACAAGAGAGCGCAGCGCGACGGTGAGACGAAGGGAGAGGTGCCGGCACGGAGATCCCGTGCCCGCGGCGCCCTCCACCTCTTCGGCCCACCCCGTGGAACCGGCGTGTCGGCACTCACGGGGACGGGCTGCCCAGCCCCGGCAGGCTCCGCAGCAGCAGAGAGCGGCCGGGTGGGGTGCTCCGTCTTTACGGAGCTGTCTGGCGGGGGGAGAAAATCTCTCCGCCCGGGACGAGAGGGCGAATCCCGCCTCCTCCCTGTACAATGCACAGATCACTACGTTTTCTAAATAAAAATGAGGTTGATCTGTATCCAAATCTAGGTGTCTTTTGTTTTCACAAATGCTACACTTACACACAATGTTAACCGTACAAATTCCCCATTCGCTGCCCCAGCTGTAGCTCCTGTAAAGGAGGTGACTAGTGGGCATGCGCAGATGAGAGGGATGAACCGCAGGGAGTGCTATCTAAAGGAAAGCGCTATGCGGTTACAGGGACATTATGGCCGGCGTATTGCTGTCAGAGAACACACTACGCCTAGAGCAAAGACTCCAGTAAATGCAGTTTACCGTAGTGGTAAAGGCTGCATTATGGCGGAGCCCGCACTCACACAAGAGCGCGTGGCGGTGCGTTCAGGGACCTTAGTAAAAACACTATGCCTATAAAAACTCCGATTAATGCTGTTTACCGTAGTGGTGAGAACAGCATTATGGTGGAGCGCGCGCACACACAAGAGCGTGAGGCGGTGCGTTCAGGTACCTCAGTAAATAATCGGCCCTTTCTGTGTCGACCCTCCATGGGCATATCTTCCATTCATGGGGAGTTTTGCGGCGGAACGGGTCACCAGAGAGTATCACAGCTTCATAGTAGTGATGTGTCGGTCGCGAACGAGCCGATTCTTTTGAACGGCTCTTTGGTACGAACGAGGGGAACCGAGTCGTACTTGGTGAGAGCCGTTCTTTTTATCGTTCAATCGTTGGTCAGCACTCACTACCTGCCAACATCCAATCGCCTTTTAAAAAGCTTGATTTTGTTCCCCAAACGTATTCTGTGAAGACCCGCCCCTACTCTGTTTGGTAGGTTTCAGCACGAGGAGTGAGATGGGGTGGGTCTTAACGGAATACGCGAGAGAGAGAAGTCATACCAAGTGGTACAGGACAGGTAGACGACGTGTTTTTCGGATGGAAAATGAGCCAAACTTGAAAGCGCAGCAGCATTTGGATGCACTTCAACCAAAACCCAGGCAGTGATAAAGCGCACCATTTGTAAAGGCAAAAATATCCTTTAAAGCAGGGTCAACAAATAATCTCCATCGCCACTTAAAAACACAGTATCTAATATTAAGAGTTGCGTGAATTTCATTCAAGGCAAGGCAACTTTATTTACTTATCACATACAGAGGGTAAATTCAAAGTACATTCACTGACATGAATGACATGGAGGCGCCACCTTGTGTCATGTTTACAATGCAGATTATTTACATTTGGTCTGGAAATACAGTCAACCATTATCCTGGTGATTATTTCGCAGATAAACCTAGTAACCCCGCCCCCTTTAAAACAACGGCTCTTTTGAACGGCTCTTTGAAAGGAACGGAGCCATAAGATCCGGCTCCCTTCAAAGAGCCATAATTCCCATCACTACTTCATAGCTGCGGCCCCACAGCTGAGTGCTTGTCCATAAACACAATGTTATGGGGAATGGAAACTCAGCTGTGTACTAATAGGGTGGATGGACAGGTCGCTGAAACGGGGCTATTCACTCCAGTTTTGCAGCGTCCCACCTCATTTTATGGGCATGCGAGAGGTAAATCTGTCCTCCCAGGAGGAGATGAGTTTCCTCTCATAAGAGATTCGGGCTCTGGTGCAGAAGCAGGCTGTGTCTGTTGTTCACCCTCAGCACAGAGAAAAGGGTCTTCATTCCATGTACTTCCTGGTTTTCAGGAAGACAGGGGAATTCAGACCTATTCTAGATCTCCGTGGCCTGAATCGCCATATTTCCTGCAGGAAATTCCGCATGGTAACTATGAAACAGTTACTGGGCTTGTGCAGCCAGGCGATTGGTTCACCACCATCGACCTGAAAGACGCGTACTTTCATGTAGAAATTGTTCCAGAGCACAGAAAGTATCTGCGTTTTGCCTTCCAGGGGATGGCCTACGAGTACAACAGGCTGCCGTTCGGCTATTCCCTATCCCCACGCACATTCAGCAAATGTGTGGCCACAGCGCTTTAACCGCTGCGCGCCCACGGCATGAGAGTTTTCTTTTACCTAAACAACCTCATAGTCATGGCTGGGTCCCGGGAACAGGCAATGTTTTGCACAGCACGATTGATCACACACCTAACCAAATTAGGCTTTGCGATCAATTGGAAAAAGAGCACCCCCATACCTCACCAACAGGCATTGTATTTGGGAGTGGTGCTCGATGCAGACGCGCTACGCGCCACCCTGTCAGAGAGCAGACGTGCGTCCCTTCTCCGGGCGGTGCACAGGCTGCGACAGGGGGCGACAGTGACAGCTTTAACTGTCATGCAGACTCTGGGTCTCATGGCGGCTGCTCACATTGTGGTCCCGCTGGGGTTACTACATATGCGCCGCCTGCAGAGGTGGTTCTCCAGCCTGCGTTTGGATCCCAAGAGGCACAAACGGCGGCTGGTGACCATCCCCCCCTCAGTGGAGGGCAACCTCCGGTTTTGGGGGTCCCCGGATCACCTCCGGAGGGGGTCTCCACTGGGACGGGTGACCTCCTACATCACAGTGTTCACGGACATCCAGAACAGGATGGGAAGGGACCTGCCTGAAGAGGGCTATAGGTGGGCGCTGGGCTCTACGGAGTCTCGACACAGCAACCTCCTAGAGCTACGGGCGGTAGTGTTAGTTCTCCGGCATTTCATGCCCCTAATTCAAGGGAGACATGTACTGGTCAGGAGCGACAACAGCACCACAGTGGCTTATATCAACAGGCAGGGCGGAGTCCGCTCCGCCGCCTTGTTGGCCACAGCAGAGAGGCTCAAATCAAATCAAATCAGGTTTTATTTATAAAGCACATTTAAAAGCGATTTTTGGTCGAGCCAAAGTGCTGTACATGTAATAAAAACACATTACTACAGAACACAATAAACGACAATAAATTACAACAGATATAACTTAAAAAAAAAAAAAAAATAAGAATAAAACACACGGAAAAGTCAGGAGTCGTGCTCCGCTCTAACTAGAAAGCCAGAGAGAAGAAGTGTGTTTTTAGTTTTGATTTGAAAACCCCTAGGGTCTGGGCCGACCTCACATGGAGGGGCAGAGTGTTCCAGAGCCTAGGGCCAGCTGCTGCGAAGGCTCGGTGCCCTCGGGTTTTTAGCCTGGTCTTGGGCACTACCAGCAGCAGCTGGTCAGCAGACCTTAAAGCTCTGGCTGGGGTGTAGCGCTGGAGCAGTTCAGTTATATAGGCCGAAGCCAGCCCATTTAGTGCTTTAAAAACAAATAAAAGGATTTTAAAATCAATTCTGAACCGAACTGGAAGCCAGTAGTGAGGCCAGAATAGGGGTGATGTGGTCGCGCTTTTTGTGGCCAGTCAGCAAACGTGCAGCAGCGTTTTGGACTAGCTGTAAGCGTTTGATTGAGGCCTGGTCCATACCCACATACAGAGCGTTACAATAGTCCAGTCTCGAGGTTACAAAGGCGTTAATAACCCTTTCTAAGTCTTTAAAAGATAAATACGACTTGGTTTTGGCCAATAGTCTTATTTTAAAAAAGCAGGATTTTACTACGGTGCTGACCTGCTTGTCGAATTTAAAAGTGCTGGTGAAGGTCACTCCAAGGTTCATGACCGAGGGGAGGATGTTTTTTTTTATAGAGCCCAGAATATCAACCGGAGAGGCTGGAGGTTGCGGTCCAAAAAAGATGACCTCGGTCTTGCTCTCGTTGAGGTTGAGGAAGTTTTTGCTCAGCCAGGATTTTATCTCTGCTAAGCAGTCCATCAGCTGCTGTAGTGAGTGTGTGACATTTGCTTTGAGAGGCAGATAGATCTGTACATCGTCGGCGTAGTAGTGGAAGGGAATGTTATGTTTTGTGAGTATTGAACCTAGGGGCAGTATGTACAGTAGAAAAAGGATGGGGCCCAGAATCGAGCCTTGGGGAACCCCACAGGTAAGAGGGGCTTTGGCAGAGGAGAAGGCACCTAGCTGTACCGAGAAGCTACGGTCTGTCAGGTAGGACCTGAACCATGCAAGGGCAGAGCCTGTGATGCCAGCGGACTGTTCAAGCCGTGACAGCAGGATGCTATGGTCCACAGTGTCAAAGGCAGCTGTCAGGTCTAACAGCACCAAGACAGCTGGGCTACCTGAGTCGGCGGCTAGGAGCAGATCATTAAAAACTCTTAAAAGGGCTGTTTCAGTGCTGTGCATGGGTTTGAAGCCAGACTGAAACTTTTCATGGTTCCATGCGTGGTTAAAAAAGACTGCAGCTGGGCGTAGACTACTCGCTCCAGGGCTTTTGATAAAAAAGGTAACTGGGAGATGGGCCTAAAATTTGCGAGAATGGAGGGGTCGAGATTTTTCTTTTTAAGGAGTGGCTTAACCACGGCATGTTTGAAGGCAGCTGGGACACATCCTGAGGTAAGAACAGAAGTAACCAAAAGCTCTTGTCTCAGGGCAAACAGTATTTCATAAATATGAATTGAAAGGCTGGTTTGAGTTTGCCCTGAATTGCAGGATGAACTACAGAGCATGTCAGCAGGGCAGATGCCTGCTGTCACATAGTTTGCTCCATTTGAAGGACAGTCTTTGCTACAACAAAGCCACCCTGCAGCCAAGAGTCTAATGGTAGGAGGACTTCTGCCATGAAGACCAGGGTTGCGGTCGAATAGTCCAAAAATCAGCTCCTAAGTTCTAACCCTATCGTCTATTCCTTGACCTCTGAGTGAAACGTCACGGGGTTAAGGGATAGTGGATAGGAGAATTCAAAAGGATTTAGGAGAAGAGACTGCGGTACTTTAGAGAATCTGACTGCACTTTCACTATCCGACGTGTTTATGATGCGCCAGCGGAGGTCATAAATGTGCGTCTGCTGCTGTGGGGAAACTATGGAAACTACAGTTTTCTATACAGCGGACTACAACATGGATGTTTAATAAGAACGAGGGACTACTGTAAACTCATCTAGAGACTCTGCACCGTGCTCTGATGCTGTTGTTGTATGCTTTATGAACGTGGACAACAGAGAAACATATTCTTCATGACCAAAGTTGAAATTGAAATAAAAAAGGAAAGTGAAACTTATGCTTGTCACCCTCTCCCTCCGGTCCACATTAATACAAATGATCCCAATACGTATGACTGTATGAAAAGATCTTAAAATCAATACAAATGTATTTATTATAAAAGTTAGTCCTTAACATCTGTAACATCTGTGTATATCACCATTCAAACATCTTTTAAAAGTTGAACAAACCCCACACAGCTCAGTAAAGACTGTGAAATGTTGACTTTATTTGATCATTTCAGTAAAAACTAACGTTCATATTTCTCTTTTTGATGATAATACTGATGAACGTTCAAAACAAAGCACTTTGGCAACTTACCACATACGTTTTAAAATGCTTAATAAGCAACGTAACTTTCATGATATCATTTCTCGTTCATAATCGGTTGTTTCCGTGAACGGCCGACTGTTGTGTGACGGAAAATGCGGCGGCCGCAAGGCATTGTGGGGCAGCATTTTCTCCTCTCCTTTAGGTTAGGGAGGTCCAGTGGTTCCTAAGCTAAAGGAGGTTATAAAGGAAGTTTGAAACCTCCTTTCCTTTCATTTAGAGAATTCGAACGGCACTTATCATGGCTGCCACTGAGGGACTTCCGGGTCATTTCACTCCGTTAGGAAGGTTCCTAAGCTAAATGGACTATTCGACCGCAACCCAGGAGGCAGAGTCGCAGTCTTACACGCTTCTCTGCGCTCTCTCTAATAAAATACCCAATATTAACGGTGTGTGTGTCTGCCCAAGGACAATTTAAAGTAAAACCTAATAGAGGTGTTTTACCTAATAATCTAATAAAAGTAAATGTAACTACTACAGTGCAACAAAACAGGAAGATTAAATGTGGACTCTTAAACATAAGATCTCTAGCATCTAAAGCAATATTGGTAAATGACTTAATATCAGATTATAATATTGATATATGCTGTCTCACTGAAACTTGGTTGAGACATGAAGAATATGTCAGCATAAATTAAGCCACTCCACCCAGCCATATCAATACTCATATTGCTCGAGGCACAGGCCGAGGAGGTGGAGTTGCAGCAATCTTTGACTCAAGTTTACTCATCAATACTAAACCAAAATTAAATTATACCTCATTTGAAAGCCTTGTTTTTAGTCTTACGCATCCGACCTGGAAAACTTTGCAGTCAATCTTATTTGTTACAGTGTACCGTGCACCAGGTCCTTATTCAGAATTTTTATCAGAATTCTCTGAGTTTTTATCAAATTTGGTACTTAAAATGTACATGGTATGTTTTTATTCTCCTTGCATATATTCCATTACAGCAGCACAATCTAGCGGCTCTTAGTATTGACAAATATTTATTGAAATGTGTTGCTGCACAGGTCACCTTTAGCTCTCTTAAGAGATGGGTGATGTCATTTGTGTACTTAATTATAACTAAGTAATTTTACTGTACTTACAGTAAACAGAATTCTAGGGTATCATGAGTATTTTCTGCTGTTTTATACTATATTTTAGTTTGTTTGTCTGAACACCTTGTTTCTCTTGTGCATTAAGAACACTTGTGTTAGGGCATGATTTAACAATAAATAGGTTATACAGTATAAAATACCACGTACGGTCCGCCCTCCCATGCCACCCTGGCATGACCTCTTGCCCCCCCTTTGCCACCCCATGTAAAATGTTCTAGAACCGCCACTGAGCAGGAGATCAAATATATATTTTGGCCCTTTACTATTCAGAGCTTTATAAACCAGTTGTTGTAATTTGAAGTCAAATCTTTAACAGATTTGGAAAACCTAGGAAAAAGGAACCAAAACAAGAAACATCCGGATGGAATCTCTGGGTATTTCAGCCTTATCTGCATTAAGAGTAATGCTAAGATGCATCCCTGAACACCAAGCAAACATGTGCTCTGAGATATTCAATTTGTGATTTAACAATTCCTGCAAAAACTTTTGATTCAACTATTATTTGGGAGGCTATAGTTTGTGGTGCTCTTGAACGTTATTGTATTATACTGACAAGTGTTTATGATATTTAGACCGCCTTCATTAATTAACAATGTGGACAGTCATATAACTGTAAAACAGTGTGTACATTTTACATTTGACCAAAAAATGTAAATGCAGAATTTAAAAGTTGTAAAGTGGACATGCTGCCACCTGAGGGCACTGTTTGTATATTTGGTGTCATACAGTTTATGTGTTTACTCTGAAACTCAATGTTTGACAAATAAATAATTTCTAATGTATATTTCTAGGTGTTGGCTCTTGTTGCATATGTTTTATCCAGGTCTGTTTTTGTTTATATTATATATTGTTTGCACTGTATTGAAATCATAAAAGGTTCACAAAGCTCTGATGTCTTCTCAATATACTGATTGTGTCTCCTCATGAAAACCCGGTGCAGTGGGTTGACTCCAGCTTCAGTTATCTTGTTTTTCTTTTCTTCTGCCCCTGTCAGGCTCTCCTGCCTCTGCTGAAACTAGCTGCATCCAAAGGTGGAGCAGGTGGTGAGGGAGGGATGGGCATCAAGAGGGCGGCAGTCAAACCCTTTCATGCATGAATTATGAAAGCCTCACTCAGGATTTTTTTACCAAGTGTTTTTATATCTCTTGGGGCGAAAAAAAACAAAACAAGATTTTAACTTTAGTTTGTTTTTATCTAGTTTTTTCAAATTTAGAAAAAAAGTGTTTTATATGTCCACTCAGGTGGACAGTATGCGTTAAAGTCTAAACTGAAAACTTGTACATTTGGAAAAAATGATAAATAAAGATGTGCAAACTTAAAATTACATTATAATAACTTAAAGTGGACCTATCATGCTATATTTGAATAATATAGTGTAGGACCATACCTATATAAGGCATATTTATACTTTTTTTTGTGCAAAATACCAAACAGATCATGCATTTTAGCCATGCCTCATTTCGCTCAATTTGCACTTTTTTAGCTCTGTTTTTGCGAGGGGTGATTCTGTGAGAACAGCACCACCTACAGGCCTGGCATATGTACTACAGTGTCTCCAGCGCTTTCGAACGGCAATGGCGGTGGCTGTCTCCTCCTGATTGGTGGAGTTGGCCCAATAGCCGTAGCGCCACTGTCCTGACGTCAGGACAGTGTTCAAATCTGGATCAGTTTTTATCAGATCCGTTGCAGCCCCTTTTTATGGAGGAAAATAGAGAGGGTTGTGTTTTCTGACACTTGGTGAGTTCCCTGGAACACCGGGGACACATATTCATGTATAAAAGACGTACAAAAGTGCATTTAGCATGATAGGTCTCCTTTAAGTATATTGATTTAAGGCCCAAAAAGATATTGAAGAAATGAAGTATTTTCAAGAAGAACAGTAGCAGTAACAGTATGAAGTTTAGTTGAAATATAGCCAGTGATGCATGACGTCCACTTTAGTTAAGTTGGCGTGACGTTGAAGCAGCGACCCTGCTATAGTTCGTTTATAGCATAACGTTAGCATTTTGCTTCTGGCGACTAGATTTATGATTCAAGCATGGCAGCCCATCTGCTCCCAGTAGGCAGCAGGCTGGGCAGAGAGCCTCTGCCCCGCTGCTGTGTGACAGGGCGGCTGCAAATAAACACGGGTCTGTTGGTCGTCTCGCACATTGCTCTTCCGCAAGATGCCCCCACCTCACCGGACCAGAGCGATTATTTGGCCGCAGCATCGGCCGAATTAATAGCTTGGTCTACGGTGTGGCCGCCGCTGCTTGCCGTGTGTGAACGATTGCATTTATCCCAGAGTAAGAGTCATCTCTCTCCACAATTCCACATTTCCCCATAATGTCCGTTTCAAAGAGACGGCATTATGACAGAGCCGCGGCCCCACGAGAGCGTGCCGCGGTGCGTTCAAGGACCTCAGTAGAAAATCGGCCCTTTCTGTGTCAGCCCCCCATGGGCCAAACGTCCTTTTATGGAAGGTTTGGCAGCAGAGTAGGCCACCAGAGAGTACTACAGCTTCTTAGCTGCGGCTCCACAGCTGCTTACATGTCCCCTAAACACAGTTTTATGAGGAATGGAAGCTCAGCTGTGTACTGACAGACAGTGGCGTTTTCTCCCTGAGGCCAAGGGAAGCCAGGCTTCCCCTGTTTTTTCGGATTGTAGTTATAATTTTAATAAAAAAATAAAAACACTTTGTTTTGTTTCGGTAATTCTCCTTTGCTGTGTGTTGCTGCCGGACCGTCTCTCCCCCATTCTCATTGAGTATTTTACAAAGAGTGAAACAAACAGCGCCCCTCTAGATGTTATGGTGAAACAGTAGATTGCATTCACTGTTGCGAGAGGAGGCCAGCCGAATCGGGCTTCCCTTGGTGAAAGAAAATGGAGGGATTGTCCCGGATTGACCAATCAGATGAGGCCCACGTCATGCCCCTGCCAACCTGTGATTGGTCAGGGCCATGCCAAGGGAAGCCAGTTGATGCGATTTGATTGGATTGTGAGCCTCACAATCCAATCAAATCGCATCAAAATCAGTAGTACTACGTAGTACTGTAACTGTCATCACCGCCGTTAGAAAGTATCAAGCAAATGAAGCATTATGGAGGGTGGAGACAGAGCCGGCCCGACCCATTAAGCGACATAAGCGGCCGCTTAGGGCCCCGCAGCCACTAAGGGCCTCCTAGCAATACACTGTCGCCGTGATAAGTATGTTTAATTAATTGTGTTAATATGCCTAGATTGCCTACTCTCAAAGTCATGTATTATATTATTGAGTCAATCATATAATACATTAACCATGCTTTACCTGAACCTCATCATGACACTAGAGAGGACGACAGGATTGTAATTTCCCGTGTGCAGTGAATGCAACAGAGGCAAGACACCAGACCAACCAGAGAGTTGAATGGAAATAAACATCTGTCTTATTGGCTAACAGGACTATCCTGTGAGCTGTGACAATGTTTAAAATAAACTGTCAGTCTCAGACTCAGCGTTTTTGAAGATGGACATAAGAACATTTGTTCTTAAAAAAGACGACAATTCTCAAGTGGTGGTTCACACAACAACCCCAGAGCCAGCACTTGAGCCAGGAGAAATTACAGCTACGTTGACGTTACTTTGAATCGCGGGGGTAAGCTAAACCGTTAGCAAGTAGCTATAGCTAGCCAGATATATTAAATAAACACTTTGTCATACAATCTAAATGTAATGTTTTTTAGCGTTACCTGGTGATTTAAAAGAAAGCTCTCTGGGAAATGTTGACTTACTGTTCGACATGAAGCTAGAAGCTACCTTACAGTACACAGTTGATCCTGAGTCCTGTCAGTTAAAGTGTTTCATAGTTAGCTTAGCTAAGCATCAACCTAGCACTGAAATATATGGATGTTAAGTGACAGTATTTCTGAGAAAAAGTCAGCTGAAATGGTGGCATAGTTGCCACTGCTTTACGTGTCGACAGCATGATTGAACGTATTTGCAGCAGTAAATGTGGCTGTTTGGCCACTGACGTTGCCATAACAACACCTGAATGTAAATGTGCAACCTCTTTTTGTAACAGATTTTTGTATGAAATTATAATTCTTCTGAATGATATTCCTATTGACAGCTAGTTTTTATGTGAACATTATGAGATGGACAGCCAGAGAGAATAAATGAAAAACAGTTATGAAATACTATATGACAAAACAAGAATACAGTTTAAAAGTGATTTGTAAAATATCCATAAAGAAAAATCAGTTTACAGTTCTGTTTCATATGGGTGTTGAGAGATGTATCCATAGATCTCTTAATTTTGCTCTCAAAGTGCACCAGATTGATGCTTTTAACTTCAATATTTAAAACAAAATCTTCCCGGGGGAGCATGCCCCCGGACCCCCCTAGAGGAGGTGAGGACCCCCCTGGAGGATGTTAGGTCCACAGTGTTTACATGCTTATTTATACAATATGTGTGCTTATGCTAACATCATAAGACAAAAGTTGGTTCCGTGTTGTGTGAAGTGAGAACGCGCTAGAGTGAGGGGGGCCCCCAAGCCAAAACTCGCTTAGGGCCCCCAAAAGTCTAGGGCCGGCCCTGGGTGGAGATTTGGCGTACTTAATCAAACATAACTTTACTAAACTTCCGCTACAGCAGCAACTAAAAATTAAATCAGATGACAGGCCAATGCCCACACTCGAGCTGTGTACACAGAGGAAAAAGGGAACGAATCGGACGTTCAATGAGGACAATTATGTCCGCACGGAGTGGCTAACTGGAAGCGCTAAAGTTCAGCGTCTATTTTGCTGGCCATGTCTTCTTTTTGACAAGGATTCGTGTCAGCCCCTCGTGTCCTGTTGGCGTACCGGCCGACGCCAGCCCCCCGTGTCCTGTTGGCTCTACGGCCGACGCCAACCCTATGTCCTGTGCCATTGGAGGTCCCGCCGACTACTCTCCTGCCGGGGGTCTTGCCAACTCCATGTCCTGTCCCATTGGGGGTCCCGCCAACTACTCTTCTGCCGGGGGTCCTGCCAACGCTATGTCCTGTGCCGTTGGAGGTCCCGCCGACTACTCTCCTGCCGGGGGTCTTGCCAACTCCATGTCCTGTCCCATTGGGGGTCCCGCCAACTACTCTTCTGCCGGGGGTCCTGCCAACCCTATGTCCTGTGCCGTTGGAGGTCCCGCCGACTACTCTTCTGCCGGGGGTCTTGCCAATCCTATGTCCTGTCCCGTTGGGGGTCCCGCCGACTACTCTCCTGCCGGGGGTCTTGCCAACTCCACGTCCAGTATCGTTGGGGGTCCTGCCGACACCTGTTCCGCTGTGGGTCCTGCCAACCCCATGTCCTGTCCCGTTGGGGGTCCCGCCGCCGACTGCTCCGCGGGATTTCCTGCCAACACCAGATCCTGTCCTGTTGGGGGTCCCGCCGACACCTGCTCCGCCGGATTTCCTGCCAACACCAGATCCTGTCCTGTTGGGGGTCCTGCCGACACCTGCTCCGCCGGGTTTCCTACCTACACCATATCCTGTCCTGTTGGGGGTCCCGCCCACACCTGTCCCGCCGGGGGTCCTGCCAGCTCCATGTTCTGTTCCGTTGGGGGTCCCGCCGACACCTGTTCCACCGGGGGTCCTGCCAACTCTGTGTCCTGTTCCGTTGGGGGTCCAGTCGACACCAGCCCTTGCTCCATCCGGGGTCCCATTGACACCAGCCCATGTTCAGGATCCCGTCTACGCCTGTCCCGTCGGCTCCGGTTCCTGTCCGGCCGATACTGGGTCCTGCCCGGCCTCCGGAGCTGTCCCGTCAGCGCCTTCCTGCCCGGCCTCCGGAGCTGTCCCGTCAGCGCCTTCCTGCCCGGCCTCCGGAGCTGTCCCGTCAGCGCCTTCCTGCCCGGCCTCCGGAGCTGTCCCGTCAGCGCCTTCCTATTCGCCCTCGAGCCCGGCCCCCTGATTTCCCCAGCCGCAGCCTTCGCCCTCGAGCCCGGCCGCCTGACACTTCCAGCCGCTGCCTTCGCCCTCGAGCCCGGCCCCCTGAGTGCCGTGGTCTTCGCCCTCGAGCCCGGCCTCTTGACTCTTCCAGCCGCTGCCTTCGCTCTCATGCCCGGCCCCCTGAGTTCGCCCGCTGTGGCCTTCGCCCCTTTTTGAA